AGGGGACGCTCACCGACCGTTCTTAAGGAACTCACTCGAGAGAGATCCCGTAAGGCACAACGGAACGAGTGGGTTCCGTAAAATGGATCGGCGAGCGCCCCCTACCATTATATATTTCCGAACGAAACCGACAGGGCAACGGGCTCATGGCTGAGTGGTTAGGGGCGTGGGCTTCTAACTAACAGGTCGAGAGCTCGAGCCTCGGGTGTTCACACTTCGGAGTTGGGTATGACTGGCTGACGACGGCTAATAAGCCAGGAATGGCCATTCCAGTCTCCCATCTCTTTATCGGTAATGCTATCCGGCAAATATATACATATTTTTTGGAAATCAAATACATTCTTTGGGAAAGAGAAAAAACTTTATTGAGTAAATTTTCGACGTCGGTTCCCCGTGTCGTCGTCAGACTAGAGTAAATGTGCAGAAAACAATCAAAATTTAAAAGGCTACAAAATCAATACTCATTTGGTGCTTCAGCCAGTACGGTGCCGTCGTATGCGTCAGTCCGTATTGATCGGCACGTACGAAAATCTCAGAGGAAAGTGGGAGACGAAAGCCGATCAATACGGACTGACGCATACGACGGCAGCTTACTGGCTGAAGCACCAAATGAGTATTGATTTTGTAACACGTTTGAAATTTTAATTGTTTTCTGCACATTTACTCTAGTCTGACGACGACACGGGAACCGACGTCGAAAATTTACTCAATAAAGTTTTCTCTCTTTCCCAAAGAACCTATTTGATTTTGAATTATATTTCTTGGGATGCCTGCGTTCCAGTTCATATATATATATGTATATATATATATATATATATATATATATATCAGCGAGGAGGGACGACAGAGAATGCGGGTAGATTGATACGGCACTGTTCCGGGCTTATTCTGCCTTCATTCAGCCAATCATAACCCTGACCACCAGCAGCTGCGACCAGAAACACAAACATGCGCACAGACGCACCTGGCGCAGTCGGTCCACCACTATATATATACATTGACGGCGTCTCTGAGGCGGTCTCTCGTCTGCTAAGACCACTGGGGATTGGCATTGCCCATCGGCCAGAGTCAACAATTCGAAATCTGGTCATGAGACCTAAGACCCCCCTGCCACGCGGCGAAACAACGAACGTCATTTATCGGATCCAGTGCAGTTCCTGTGATATGAACTATATTGGAGAGACCGGCAAACGACTGCACACCCGTGTTGCAGAGCACATGAGGGCAGTTAGGCGGATGGACCCGTTGTCTCTAGTGGCAGAACACTGCGCAAACTCTGGACACACGTTCGCCTTCCAGAATGCTGAAATCCTGGGCCGGGGCAATGACCGCATCACGAGGGAAACAATCGAGGCATGGCACACTGGCGCGAACTCCATCAACCGCAGCGTAGCGCTTCCTGAGGCTTATCAGGCCCTCCGGACGCAGCTTAGCGAACAGAAGAGCAGAGTCAGGCTGCGACAAGACAGAAACCCAAGTACGGCCGAGTCCATGGGGGCCACACGCGCAGCTGTACTTCAACCCGAATCTGACGAAGGTGCGATCGTCACTACAGCCGCGTCGTCCACTTATCTGGCAGGTGTGAGGACGAACGATCGCAGTAACGCCAACGGACCCGATGAAGATGCTATCATCACTGCCACTCATGCGGCAGGTGAGAACACAAGTGACTGCAGGGTGACAAAGAAGATTGCCAGCCTAGGACGAGAGCTAAGGTCAATGCAAACACGTGCGATGACAGCTAGCGTCCAAACGACAGCCCCCGAATAGACGCAAACCCGTTGTAACCAGATCGTCACCGCCTATAAATACTGTGAGGCGTTGTACAAAACTCACCTCCGACGATGAAATCTTGTTTGATTTTGAAACGTCAGGGCAATATAACTATGGTTCCCGAGATCGCCTCTTCTTCTTATTTATGTCCGGGGACGCGCATCTTCGCTTCTATCAGCAATATATATATATATATCAACATTAGTGAAGATTCGAGGTCTGATTGAGAGTAGTCGCCACAAGGTAGCTTAACATCCCCCTAGACAGGAGGTAGGCTCCAGTACAGAAACCCAGGCAGGACAGTAAACTCACGTCAAGGAGGTGCTCCAACAGCATGAGCCGCTGAGGCCAGCGGCAGAGGCTGGGCTCTGGCGTGGGAGACTGGTTCCGCAAGCTGTCCGTGGCCCGGAGGAGGTAGGTCAGAGCCCAGGCCGAGGAGGGAACCAGACTGTCCAGACCGGGCGAGGAGACGGCCACAAGGAGGGGCAGGACTAGGTGTCTCGTCAGTGCCTCAAACGACCGATAAACCGAGCTGAGTGTGTGCGTGCGTGTGCAGGGAAGGGATTTGTAAGAGAGCGTTACTGAAGAATGGTGGCTTTGAGAGGAGGCAGCAGAATGCTTTGCAAACTCATGCAGTTTGTTTAATGCGCCGTTCAGTCCCAAAGGAGGTTCAAGGGCTGAGAACCAATCCAAGCTTTAACTTTTAAGGACTTATTCGGGCGTGAAAGCTCTAACTCTGACAGTTTCGGACCATTCATACTCTGTCCTTAACAAATCCATGCGTGGTTGAAGAGTGCTCACCGATCAGATCACGGGACGTGTTCGTTCCGCCAGCAGCCGCATAGCCGCGCGTAATATAGGCAGAGTAACATTACCGACAAAGATCGGTGAGCGCCCCCTCTACCATTGTATATTCTCAATCGCAACCGGCAGTTTCGGCCAGTTGGCGATGCCAAGAAGGGGAGCTAGGTGGCATACCTGTCCAATATAGGGGAAGTTCGGTTATGGCAAAGATAAGCCGTTCGAGCCTCGGGTGTTCCACACTTCGGGCTTGGGTATGACTGACTGACTACGGCTAATAGGCCTGAAATGGCCATTCCAGTTCCCCTTGTCTTTGTCGGTAATACCATACTGGCTTAACCATGCGCCGCTGTGCGACTGCTGGTTGGACTCGAGAGAGGGAGAGCCCGTAAAGCACAACGGAACGAGTGAGTTCCGTAAGAACGATTGGTAAGCACCCCTCCACCATTGTATATTCCCGATCGAGACCGAAAGGGCAACGGGCTCGTGGCCCAGTGGTTAGTGGCGTGGACTTCTAACTACTAACAGATCGCGAGTTCGAGCCTCGGGTGTTCCACGGTTGGGTATGGCTGGCTGACGACGGCTAATAAGCCAGAAATGGCTATTCCAGTCTCCCTTGTCTTTGTCGGTAATACCATACCGTAGACAGAGCTTTGTGCTAGGTCATCCATTGTCCCCATGTTCATCTCCAGTCATCTAGGCCTGATTTAACCGTTAGATGGGAGCAAGAGGGCATGGGATTGACACTGCACAGTTCGATCGTTAGACGCATAGGC